TTTTTTTTTTTTTTTTTTACATTTTTTTGTATTTATTTTTCTACAAACATTAATATTGTCTAGTTTGAAATAAAATTAAAAAATTCATTATTAAAAATTTTGGGGACCTAAATCAAGGCTTTACTAGTCTCCTACTAGAGCGACTTGCCCACCCATGATATTCTTAATCAAGTTTGTTGAGTCTCAATTATATAACACAAAAATGGCAAGAACATTAAATGCAATGAGTGTGTCATTCAGTTACCAAATGTAAATGAAGCTGGTTGAAAAGTACGTTTATGGTGGGCAGTAGTCTGTAAATAATTGTTGATCATCAATGAGGGGCGACTCAACAGAACTGGTGGCCTAAAACCAGAATATATTAAAAAGACCCTGAAACTTCATTTATAAAATTCATATAATATTGAGACACAAAAAAACTATATGATTTTGATCTAGTGGTGAGAGCGCAACTCATATTGTACGGGTTAGGTGCGCGTCATATGGTATTGAATTTTTTCTCTAGATGAAAATGGTAAAGGGATGAGCCTATTGTCCATCGTTTTTTGAACCTTGCGACATTTGTCTCGTGGATTTATAAGTAAAAAAGAAGAGACACAAAATAACTTGCTTTATGGTGTGTAGATCAATCATATGTAACAAAAAGGAATAGTTAATTTAGAGAATTTTAGTTAAAATTAGAAAGTAAAGTTGTGGGAAACATGAGAAAAGATTATACATAGAGGAAGAAAAATAGAATTTATGAGAAGGTAAATATATTATTTAATTTAGTGAGAGAAAAAATTTATTCTATTAACTCACTCAATCCTACCTCTACCAAATTTTAAAAATTATTAAAATTTTGAAATCTTTTATTAAATATTATATAAATATAAATTATAAAGTATATATTATATAATAATATAGTAATGCTTCATATTTTTGGGGCCTTAAATATTTGGAGTCCTAAGGCAAGGGCTTCACTTGCCTTACCCTAGAGCCGCCCTTGAGACTTACCCAAGTATTGCAATGTTGGATGCAAAAAATCAGTTTTTTTATTTTTATTTTATAAAGTGTTTGTTTGAATTTTTTTTAATTCATATCAGCGTACCTCGTACACAATAAATTGAACAAAAATAATAAGTCAAACAGAATTTATTTCTTGAATGAATCATTAATTAATTGAAGTTTATCACAGTAGAACAACATGACGGGCACACGAGAGTTCATGGCTAGTCCAAATTGGGCTGCGGGAATATTTCAACAAAAGTTGCTAGCAATTTTAACTAACAAAAGTTGCTAGAAGTTAAACGCACCATTATTAAGAGTTTAAGATATATACACTAATATTAAGTCATTTTTATACTAATTACCTAGTATAATTTAACCGATTATAGCATGTTATCACTCTATTTTTCAGTTACCATATCAAGTTTGAAACGTGCAATAATTTATTGTTTTAGATTAACTTGGTAATGTAAAAAAATTTACATTGTAAACTCAATTGTTAAAAACATGAAAAGTCAAATTGAGAACAAAATTATTCAAATTAGTCACTTTGATGATTCTAGTCAAAGTGCAAGACCAAATGGGATTCTTCCAAATCTTTGGCAGCACTTTATTCCTTTGAAAAAAGGTACATTGGCCAACCAAAGTAGGACCAAAGAAAATATTGCTATATGACTGATTGCATGCCTTAGTTGAAACTCAAACTAAACAATAATCAGTCCAACAAAATACTATTTCCAAATACCCTTTTCTTCATTTTTTTTCCTTTTTCTAGAAATGCATTTGAATTGATTAGAAGAGGAAATTCAAATAAAAGGAAACTGAAGGAAAGTTGAATCAAGATAAAGAAGAAGAAACTGAATATTATGGCTTGCTTTTTTCCATTTTTAAAAAAAAAATTAGAATCCAAAATATAAATACATGGAGAAGGGGGACATGAAGCCTAACCTCCTAAAATCCTGTCTTAGAATTGGACACCCCCAATTCTGTACAATGATTGTTTTCCAACAATAGGGGTGTAATGCTATTAACTGATCCTTGTTTTCTCCTAGTAACTAGTAGTCCAAAATATGCAAAAAAGCATCATGAGGATAGACCCGCCATATTATTTATATTATAAAGCATAACGAATTAGTCATTGCTTTTTTTTGTCTAATCCTGAATGTGGGGAGCTGTATTATATCCATTCTAAATAGATCCCTCACTTCTCTTGGCAAGTCTTTCATGGTTCCGTATAGCATAGCATTTTCATGTTGAGATTCTGCTCCAATTTTAGATAATGCATCCGCGACTGCATTTCCCTCTCTGTAGCAATGAACTACCTGTGCTTGAAGTTGTTGTAACATGTCTTTCAACGTCTCCATCTTATCCATAAGTTCCCAGGGAACTTTGTACTTTCCTTTAATCATATTGACTACAATCAAAGAGTCCATTTCAAGGATAATATTGCCAAAGTTGAGATCTTTACAGAGTTTCATTCCACACGAAGCGGCATGTACCTCAACACTATTGTTAGTGCAGAATTGGACATTTTGAACATAGGTTACAATAAGTTGTCCGTTTCTATTTCTAACAATACCTCCAATACCAGCTCTTCTCTTGAGAATGTTACTACTGCCATCAGAGTTAATTTTAAGCCAGTTGTCAGGGGGTTTGTCCCAAATGACAGGCCTGCAACTTAGAACTGGCGTAATGGTCTCCATTTCCTTCCAGAGTTTTTCCCAAGTCCAACTAATATCCACCCTCTCATCCAATCTTTTAAGATCATTCTTCAATAGGTACAAAACTTGTTGACATATTCTGCTTCTATTGGTTCTTCTATTACCATATACGTAGCTGCATCTAGCTTTCCAGAGCTCCCAACAAATAAGGTTAGGAAGGATAATAGTGGTTTCTTCTTTGTAATCTCTCTTTTCCTTTATAGCTCCACCAGTTGTTAAGCACTAACCTGATAGAAAAAACAGAAGTGTTAATGCCAAAAGGAATAGCAAAATATTTCCATACCTGAGTTGCAATTTCTCTACTGATGAAAACATGTTCTATGGATTCATCTTTTGGTTGGGCACGACAATGACATCTGGACACCACATTCTGTTCAAATCTTTGTACAACTTCATTTAGAGGTAATTTCCTCTTAATGATTCTCCATAGCAAAAAATTGATCTTGAAAGGAATATTCCTACTCCACACATTTAACCATAATTCCTACTTGCGTCTTCTTTGTCTAAGCATATCAAATGCAGATGAGCAAGTGAAAATTCCACTAGTGGTGGCTTTCCAAATAGGTTGATCCTTACTATTTCTATCTCCAATTCTTGTGTTTGCAATGTCTCTGAAAATATTAGCATTGACTAAGTTAGCAATCATATGAGTATTCCATTGTCTTTCCAAAAGACAGACCTTCACCTTCATAGCCCTTGGCTTGTTATTTAAGTGTGTGACATTAGCAATAGGACCTGATCCTATCCAATTGTCCCACCAAAAATCAATTGAAGCTTCATTAATCTTCCAAAGTATATGAGGTTCAACATCCTTCCTAATCTTCTTTAAATCACACCAAGCACTATATTGAGATTTATCCCATGTCTTAACCACTGGATGACTTCTCTGACAGTATTTAGAATTCATGAAATTAGACCAAAGATTGTCAGTGGTCCGTAGTCTCCACCATCTTTTGGAGCTAAAGGTCTTACTAATATCCTCCATCGATTTGAGGCCTACACCTCCCTCCTCGTATGGATAACATAAGTTTGCCCAAGAGCTCCAATGATATTTCTTCTTAGTATCAGATTTGCCTCAGAAAAAATCAGCAAACACTTTCTCTAACTGTTTCAAGACAGTTTTGGGAGGTGATATTGCTGCAAGAGTGTGTAAAGCTTGAGATTGGAGGACATGCTTTTATCAATATAACTCTGCCTCCTATAGATAATAAATTACCTTGCCAGTTATTTAGCTTGTTAGTAACAACTTTTCCTATCTCATAGAAGTATGCAATCTTCTTTCTCCCTTCATAAATAGGACAACCAAGGTATTTGAAAGGGAAGTGTTGATGGTTAAAACCTGTCACTCTTTTCATCATATCCCTTCTGGTAACAGAGGAATGTGTAGCAGTGAGAAAATAACTTTTCACTATGTTCACTTTTTGGCCAGAAGCCTCTTCATACTGATTAATTTTTTTCATAACCATTTGAATAGATTTCTTATTTCTGGAGGAGAATATCACTATGTCATCTGCATAACATAAGTGGTTTATCTTTGGTCCTCTAGGATTCATAGAGAAACCTATGAATTGATCTTTCTCGTATAAATGATTGAGTGCTCTTGAGAGAGAATCTGCAGCAATAATGAACAAACTAGGTGATAGAGGATCACCTTGTTTAATACCCCTTGTTGAATGAAAGAAACCATGTCTCTCCCCGTTGATAATGATGGAATACCATACATCAGCAAGAAACTTATATACCATATCCACAAAGTTATCAGAGAAGCCAATCTTTCTCAAAATAGAGATAAGAAAAGCCCAAAATAACATGTCATAAGCTTTAGCCATATCTAACTTAATGACAATATTATCTCCTCTATTCTTCTTCCTAATTCCTTGCACAATTTGTTGCGTCAGCAAAATATTTTTAGTGATAAGTCCGCCTTTAACAAACCCAGACTGGTTTTCAGAGATCAAATTACGAAGAAGAGTAGCAAGCCTATTAGTTAAGATCTTTGAAATGATCTTATTAGAGAAGTTACTAAGACTAATAGGTCTGAATTGAGAGAAGGAATTAGGAGAATCTACTTTAGGAATCAATACCAAACAAGTGTGAGTGAAGTATTTTGTCAATCTATATCTTTCAAAGAAGTAATTGACCATATTGTATAGGTCTGAAGATATAATATTCCATCAAACTTGATAAAATCTACCATTGTATCCATCTGGTCCGGAGGAACTATTAGGATCCATATGAATAATGGCATTTTTTACCTCCTCCATGATAGGGAATTCCTCCAAATATTGGTTATCATGGTCATTGACCTTGGCCTCCATATTTCTAATGAATCTACCATCATTAGTTTCAGCAGGTTGTGAAAAGGGCTTACTGAAGTAGTTAATAGCAGTCATTTCAGTAGACAAACACCACAATTGTGTTTGTTACATAGTTTTTACTCTAAACTTTGATTTTTTTTTTTTATTTTTTATTTTTATTTTTTTTTTTATGTTTTTGGAATACTTGAAAAATAGCTTGGAGTTTCAACGTTTTTTTTGAAATTTTGAAAAAAAATGGTTTGAGATGAATCAGGTGTTTTATATCGTTTTATTCAAGACATTTTTCAAAAGAAACAGGATAACAATGGTAGAGTCAGAAATCTAAATAAGAGAATTGCAGAAAATGCAAGAATGTTATGCCTAAAATTCAAGCTTGCGAGCAAATTTCTGAGTCACGTTTCCTACACTAAGCTTTCCTTATGTCAGCGGGATCCAACAATGTATAGATGTGCAAAACAAAAATATTTTTTTACCTTATTTATATAGTATAATTTTTTGACGAAAATAATTAAACCCCTTAGGACCGTGTAGCTGTGGCCCTTGGTAGAGGCAAGGACGAGGAGTAGATAGGTATATTATGTAATCTTCTTCTCTAGCTTATAGAATTTGATTATTAATTTATATTATCTTTCTTCGGAGAGCAGATGGTATGGTATGGAGCGTGGATAAAGAGATCTAGTGAAAATAAGGACTTACCTTGATGCAGCTCTTGTAAGTTAGATAATACAACGATGCTTCAACTTCTTTATTATTATTTATCTTAGGTTATCATATCACGCTTTACATATAAAGTTACTTGTTATTATCGGTAAATTTAGCTTAATGATGTATAATTTATACGCTGTCAATTCACAATACTTAAACTCCAATTCTAAAACTTTTCCATTTAAATATGAAGTACTTTCCTTGCCATTTTCTCATCTTTTATGCCAATCAAACAAGAGAGGAAAATGACGGAGAGCTTTGGCGTAAGCTGTCATGTGACCTTCGGTTCGAGCTGTGAAAACAACCTCTTGCAGAAATGTAGAGTAAGGCTGCGTACAGTAAACCCTCGTGGTCCGGCTCTCCCTTGGACCCTGAGTATAGCGGGAGCTTAGTGCATTGGGCTGTCCTTTTAAACAAGACAGGAAAATAGTGAAGTTATAATCTTTGTGTATTACTTAAAGGTTCTTCTATCCTTGTTACATAATTTCTAACATTCCTTCATTTTCCTTTCATGATCAGCTCTCAATGATAACAAATGTATCAAGAATGGCAATCCTAATGGAACATGGCTTTTATCATGCATATGCTGAAGAATCAAAGGATCATTCCCCGGCCGCAAAGTTCTGCACAGGGGACATAGTTTCTATGAACTCCGCGGCCTCTTCTTCCCATCATCATGACATGCCAATCGAACATTTTTCCTACGCGTGCTTAGCCATATTCAAGGACCGGTTCCACAAGATGGATGGCGCGGTTGCTGGAGTTTGCTTAAAGTGTCAAACCATACCTAAGGTTGCTTCCATTTTCGTGTGGAAGTCGTTGCAATGCTGCTACAATTACATCCTGAATCAAGATTCTAGGAGTGTTCTTCCTTATTTTGAATGGATTTTCACTTGATTTGAAGTATGATGTCTTTAGGGTTGTTTATGTAAGTGGAGATGGTGTCTTAAACTTTCACTTTTACCCTCCACACAAGATGTTGGAGAGCAAAGAAGGGCTGCAAAATGTTACTCAAGAACTTAATAGAGTTGCATAATAGAAACTTAAACTAAGGGTTGTGTTATAAGTAAGTACTATGTTTAGTTTAGTATCGGGCATATACAAACATGTGAATATGCCTTCAATTTTGGTATGTAACTGATTAAGTATATTATGAAATGATTCATGCAGTGAGAAAAATGTAATTTTGCTTCTCATTAGTTGCTATTTTTTCATAAAGATTTTCTTTTGCTTATAAGGTACTTGTGACACTAGTTTACTAAAATAAACTGCTAGCCTGTGCTTTTATCTTGTTTGGTCAAAATCACTACTAAAAATCTGCTAAAAACCGACCAAATATTTCCGACCAACGTTGGTTGGTCAAAAAAAGCGACCAAAAACCGTCCAGGTTGGATGGAAACTGGGAAAATTTTTTTTTATATTTTTTTAATACTAAATACCGACCAACGTTGGTCGGTAAATTGGTCAACGAATTGACCCAGCTGGTCAGACAA